TCCCCAGTTCTTACTGGAGTCTGTTTCTCCCTTTAGATCTAATAATATTTGCTTTATATATCTTGGTGCTTCAGTGTTGGGTACATATGTACTTAGACTTACCATATGCTCCTGTTGAATTGATTCATCATTATATAATGACCTTCTTTGTCTCTTTTTACTGTTTTTGACTTAAAGTCTGTTTTATCTGATATAAGCATAGCTACCTCTGCTTGCTTTTGGTTTCCATTTGCATGGAATATCTTTTTTGTTTCATGTGCTGTTGAGAACATCAGGCTATATGTCATGTTTTTATAGGTGAAGAGAGTTTCTTGTAGGCAGCAAATAGGTCATATTTTTTCCTTTATACATTCAGCCAGTCTATACCTTTTAAGTGGGGAATTTAATCTCTTTACATTCAAGGTAACTATTAATAAGTGAGGACTTATTCCTGTGATTTTGTTCATCATTTTCTGGTTGTTTTGTATATCCTTTGTTCCTTTTTTTCTTTCTTATTGTTTATCATTGAGGTTTGGTGGTTTTCTGTAATGGTAACATTTGGGTTCTTTCTCATTTGTGTGTCTGCTCTGTGAGTGAGTTTTATATTTTCATGTATTTTTATGATGGAAGATATTGTTCTTCTAAGTCCAGATGTAGGACTCTCTTAAGCATTTTTTATAGGGTTGGTCTAGTGATAATAAATTTCTTCAGTTTTTACTTGTCTGGGAAAGACTTTTATTTGTCCTCCATTTTTTGAAGGATAGCTTTCTTGGTATAGTATTCTTGTCCGGCACTTTATTCTTTCAGCATTTTGAATATATTATCCCATTCTCTTTTGTCTTGTAAGGTTTCTACTGAGAAATCTGTTATTAGTCTGATAGAGGTTTCCTTATATGCAACTTGATGCTTTTCTCTTACTGTTTTTTGAATTTGCTCTTTGTCTTTGACGTTTATATATAAATAAAAATAGGGACTTGCTTTGTTGCCCAAACTAAAGTGCGGTGGCATCATCACAGTTCACTGCAACTTCAAACTCCTGGGCTCCGGTGATCCACTGGCCTTAGCCTCCCAACCTGGGACTATAGGTGTGTGCCACCACATCTGGTTATTTTTTCTGTTTTTTTGTAGAGACAGAGTCTCGCTATGTTGATCAGGCGGAACTTGAACTCCTGGCCTGAAGTGATATTTCTGCCTCAGTCTCCCAAAGTGCTAGAATTACAGGTGTGAGACACTGCACCCAGCCTGTCTTTGACTTTTACAGTTTGATCGTAATGTGCTTTTGGAGAAGACTCTTTGGTTGAATCTATCTGGGAATATTTGAGCTTCCTCTGTGTGGATGTTGATATGTCTCACAAGGCTTGGGAAATTTTCATCTATTATTTTTTAAAATAGATTTTCTATGCCTTTGTTAATCTTTTCTCCTTTAAGAACACCAAAATTCACTTTATGGTATCCTATATGTTGTGTAGGATTTCTTCATTCTTTTTTATTATTTTTTCATTTTTTTTGTCTGAGTGAATTATTTCTAAAGATCTGTCTTCAAGTTCAGAAAGTCTTCTGCTAGATCTAGTTTAAACTGTGTCAGTTGTATTTTTAACTCATTAACTGCCGTGAGAGTTGTATTTAACTCACTCTAGTTTTGACCCCGGGGCCGTGTGAAGCATGGAAAAATCTTACTTGTTGATGTTCTTATTGTTACAATTAATACTGACAATTTACTTCTAAAAATGTGGATTAAATGAATAGAAGTCAATAAATTTCATTTTTGTATTTATGTTTACCTTTAAATTACACTCAAAGTTTTTATTCTATTTTCGTGATAAAACACCATGCCCCAAGGAAAAGTTTCTGATTTTTTTTGTGTGGCAATTAATGTGTTAAATTTCATTCATTGAATTATTCAGTTCCATAATATCTGTTTTTTTTAATGATATCTATCTCTGTGAAATTTCTCATACACATCATGAATTGTTTTCCTGATTTCTTTGTATTATCTATCTGTATTTTCTTGCATCTCACTAAGCTTCTTTAATATCATTATTTTGAGTTCTTTTTCAGCCCTTTAAGTTGGAATCTGTTGCTAGAGAATTATTTTGTTCCTTTGGTTGTGTCATTTTTCCTTGCTTTTTTCATATTTCTTGTTTCCGTATGTGATATCTGCACATCTGATAAAATAGTTGCTTCTTCCAATTTTTTGAATTGGCTTTTGTATGAGAAGGCTTTTTCCTATAGATGTATCTACAGTGTTGGTTGTGTAGGGTCCTTTAGCTTTGATTCTAGGTGCATGCAGTAGTGCAATCTCTGTATGATTTCCTTGGCTGTAATCAGCATCAGTGGTGTCTGTGAGTTCTTCAGTGGCTTAGGCGGGTTGTTCGTGGAGGCTACGATGAGGCTTTGCTGGGGATGGTGATGCCAGGTGGGCTGGTCCTCAGGTCTCATTGGTGGCAGCAGCAGGCTAAGTGTGCCTGTCCTTCGGCCCGTGGGTGGTGTACATTGGCATCACTGTTAGCAGGTCCAGGTGGGTCAATTCTGGGTCCTCCATCTGGCTTTCTTGGGTACTAGCTACGGCAATGGTGACCTGGTGGGTGAGCAAGTCCTCAGGCCTCTGGGTGGCATGCATGGGGTTGACAATGTCAGTAGCTGTGGCAGGCCAAACCTCTGGACCCAGGCAGTATGTGCAGGTGCAGTGGTGGTAGCAGCAGGCTGGGTGGGCCTGTCTGCAGGCTCCTGAGAGGAGTGCACAGACATTGCAGACGCTGGTGGTGGTCAACAGGGCAGGTTGATTCCCAGGGCCATAAATAGCATGTGTGGGCACCTGTAGGCTGAACAGACTTGTCCTCAGAGCCCTGGAGGGTGTGCCTGGGTGCTGGTAGCAGCAGTTGGGGTGGGTCATGAGGGTCTTTTTAGAATTGTTATTGGGTTTTGTTGTTTCTAGACTTTTTGTTTCTAGGCACTTTAAGTTAGCCTGCCTAAAATTTCTTTTGAGAAATAGCATTTAAAAAATTATGTAAGAAATTCATGCTTATTGTAGAAGATATTGGAAAATGGAGGAAAAAGTATAAAGAAAAAAAAAACACTCATAATTTCATCACCCTAAATCTGTGCTTCACAACCCCCATTCTGTGGCCTATTAGGGACCAGGCCACAGAGCTCTGCCGCACCCTCCACCCCTTCCATCCATGGAAAATTGTCTTCCGTGAAACTCAGGAATGGCGGGGGGAGCAAGTGAAGCTTTGGCTTTGCTGCTCTCCATTGCTGGCATCACCGCCTGAGCTCCACCTGCCCCCCTCTAGCCCACCCCTGTCCGTGGAAAAATTGTCTTCTATGAAACCGATCCCTGGTGCCAAAAAGGTTGGTGACTGCTGCCCTAAATGACCACTGTTAACATTGATTTTTTTTCCCCAATTTTTTTCTATTCATACTCTTCCTTTTTTGTTTTCCTTCATTAAAGTTAGAATCATTGTCTATGTACCGTTGACACATGCTGATTTTTTTTTTCGACTAACACATTTTGAGTATTTTTGTATGGCAGAAGAGTTTCTTTGAAAGCACAGTATCATCACAGGAATATAATTTAAATCATTCCACTGTTTTCCTGATGTTGAGCAGGTAGATTGCTTCTACTTTTTTGCTATATTAAAGAAATTTCTTGTTCATGGACAGTAGCCTCCACTTACATTGGGCACTCTTCCAAGCACTTCATTTATGAACTCAATCCTCACCGTAGCACTAGAAGGTCAACGTGTACTATTCATATCTCTGTTTTACAGACAAGCACTGAGAGGTTAAGCAATGTGGACAAGCAACTTAAAAGGAAGTTGCAGAGTATTTCCCCAAAGCTTTGTCTGCTTTGGAAAACTGGGTCCAAAAATATAAATATTGAGGCTATAGATATATACTAGGAAATTGTTTTAGAGGCTTAGATGGGAAATAATTTTTTGGCCTAGTCAGCAAATATATACTGGTGGCAATTATCTGGAGGCTTTTGGTATAAGAGTGACTAATTTACTGGGAAGGTACTACTGAGAAGCAGCTTCTCAGGGACCTTTAAACAGAGATAAAAATCACTATGAAAATGTTCTTCTGGGTTCTATACCTGCATTATTTCATATATGCAGCAGTGAATTGCATTTATACAGCTGTGTTGGCGAGGGCTCTGTTTTTATTTCTGGAGCTAGTAGACTTTTATCAAGGTAAGCATCTTATCCACACTAGTCCCCCCACTTCTTTACCTAATTTAATTGTGTAGCAAATCTAATGAGTATCGAAGTGTCAGTTGCTGATTCTTTGGAAGAATTAAAACCTGTGTGTCTTTGGGTAAAACTTACCCCGAAAGCTTTCTGTTCCTATATCCTTTGATAGTTTGATTCATAATTTCCTCGTTACTGCCCCTTCATAAAGCACTTGAGTAGAAAGGAAGCCTCTGGGACAGAGGAGGCTTGTTCCTTTTTACAGAGAAGGACTTCTCTGAGAACCCTATCCCATACCTTGTGGTCAAAGCTAGACTGTGGTGTGATGAGTCCACGTCCATAAACATCTGCTTCTCCACACCTAACGGTGCTGCAGGGCACAAAGGGAAGAATACTGTTTGTGGAACTTGTCCATTGCCACGTACATAACCCCTGGGAGGGCAGGCGTCCTATGCTTCCACGAGGCTTCTAAAACCCATTTTTGTATGAGAGTTTGCAAAGAATTGTGAAGATGTGAAATGTCGGGGAACATTTTGAAAGCCAGGGCAGTAGTGGGGAGGGATGTTAAGAGTCATAGTGTCTCAATGATGCGTCAACTGCGGTGGAGGTCCAGAGTCCATGGGTGAGCAGAGGGGAGAAGGCTCTGGAGACAGTCTCCTTTTTCCTTATTTGGCCCAGGCCAGAGAGTGGGGTATTTGTCTGTAGCTACCTCCTTTTCTCCAAAAAGGGAAGAATAGTGTTTTGAATCCAGTGTGGGGATTTCACAATCTTTTTTTCCTTGGTAATATGTCCCGCTTTGACATAATAACAAATCTGTTTATGCTTGCAAAGGATCAGCTATGGACCCTGCTTCTGGAGCAAAACCCAGACAAGGATTTAATAAGTCTTCTAAAAAAGATTAACTCCTAGAGGCCAGGTAAGGGAAAAAACAAAAACCAACAACCTCTAATCCAGATGTTGCTGATCATCTAATGTGCAAGATACAGCGAATGACCCTTTGAGAGAATGAATCCACAGCAGGCGAACCAGAGAGAAATGTTGGCAAACCCTGAGCTGGGTTAACAAAATGTATGTTCTCAAAACTTACTCTTCCGTTAAACATACCGTTTGAAAAGGTTATTCGGTTTTTGATTCATGGCTTAATAGGAAAGGGGAATTATTCTTCGCTTTTGACCTGGAAGGCTATTGCCTTGTCCCTTTTTCCAAACACATTACCCCAAAAAGGATAGTTCCCCGAGATTGTGAACTGTTTGTAAAACAATTAAAAATCTAAAGAGGCCTACTTAAAAACTGTCAATGTGGCAGCAATGAAGTTCTAAAGTAAATGTCTTTTCTTTCTGCTTTCAGACTGGCTCCCTGAACCTCATCAGCCTGGACGGTTGTATACCCAGGAAAATCAGCTATGGGGAAGGAACAGTAGAGGTGATGTCTGTTTACACACCTGTGACTCTTTTTGAGGCATTACTTAGAATAAGTAAAACTAGCTTCAAATTTTCTCCTTATTTGCCCCCTTCAAAAATTTCAAAACAAAACCATTAAATACATCAACCTGTATGATAATGCTTGCTTTAAAGATTTACTTGAAGGTTTTTTTTTTTTTTAATTGGACATTTAGTAGGTGTTTAGAGATAATGTTGCTTTGATACTAGAACCTTTTAGTAAAATCATGATTGGAGTACTAGCATTATTTACTGACCGGGAAGATCATTTGTAACTAGCTTCATTTTATAAAATAGCTGTGAAATCCCAGTTTTGATATTGGCATCTAATAAATATTAACTATAATTAGTTACTACATCTAATTTAAGTGCGCATCTATGTACCATGTAGAATCGTCTCACACATACCAGTCACACAGACCGTATTTTTGGGGAAACACTGAAATGGAGGAGAAAAGGTTGCAAAAACCTTCCATCCTGTTGATTCAAAGAAGTGCATTGGTGGTACAGTGGCGAGCATAGCTGCCTTCCAGAGACCTTCCATCCTGTGGAACAAATACTCTAAATGAGTTCAAGCCATTTATTTATCATGGCCAAATCAGAAGTCACCTGTTCATTTCTTTACCCATTGGTTTATACAGCTCTGTTGGGAAAAAGTGACTCAGCTATTCCTTCTGTTTGCAGTATTTAAGGGCAATGAACTTCTTTTTATAGAGTCATTTATGCTTAACTCATACTTTGTAATCCAAGAACTTTATTTCTCTTAAACTCACGCAGAAAATTTTAATTAGAAAAATTAAGCCCTCCCCCCTTTTTAGTGTAAATTTAAGTAGGAGAATCCCAGCCTACCCCCATTTGCAGTGCAGCAAACACATCTAAAATTCTCACCTCTCTTTTGTGTGTAGAATGGTGTGTTTTGTGCTTAGGAAAATCAGGTGTTTTAGATCTGACGGGAGACTGTATCTAGCCATGTAAAAGTATTTGTGGAAGCGTCTATAAATGGAGTTTTGGGTAAGGAAGCTATACTTTCTCCCCTCTTGCTCGGGAAGATTGCCCCCCTCCCCAGAGGAAAGAGGGGCTATGGGAAGGATTTAGGCAGCCCAGAGCAGTGGGTTCCTGCTGACAAAGTAACCTAGATCACTTTGTCATCTTATGTCCTCCCCTCTGGTTCAGCTGTAGTTTAAGGACTGCAGTCTGACAGCGGGTCCCATGGTTTAAGCTTCACTATGTTGGTTGCACGTGCTACAGCCCAGCCCTCGCGGCTATCGGTGTCCTAGGAACCGGGGGACAGGGTGTCTGTGCTTGGCCAGTGGGCTTCTTGGATGGTAAATGAACTCAAGGTCTCCCTTTACCTCCCTCCACCCTATTTAGAGGTAAAACAAACAGGCCTGTCAGATTTAAGGGGCATATTACTTTTGGCATATTACTTTTTAAAGAAGAAATCCCAGTAAGGAATAAGTAAATTTCTAATTTGTACTAGAAATGAATGGTAAACACCATTGTAAGACTGGATCCTGGTAGCTAACATTCTGACCTAAACATTAGAAATAAATTACATCACACTAAAGGATTTAGAATATTATAGCTAAAAATATTGTATAATTATTCTACTTGAAAAAGGTCAAGTTTCTAGAGGTCAGAGTAGTAGTTTCTGTGGGGAAGTAATGACCAGGAGGGGGCATGAGGGAGCAGAATAGGGAGCCAGAAATGTTTTCTGTCTTGATCTGAGTGTATTTGTTCATGTCGACTCAGGGATAGCTATATGAAAAGTTAATCAAGCCATACTGCAATTTTGAAAAGTTTATTATACGTAAGATACACGTTTACAGAAAAGCAAGCCTCTAAAAACAAGACAAAGGAGCTTTAGCAAAGGTTAGGTTTTACATTTTTAAAACTCATTAATATATCAAGATACCAAATTCACGAGATAGATACCAAATTCACGAGATAGATTATAGTTACGTTTTACAATGTAATCCTCTGAATAAATGCTAATGACTTAAACTGAATTACAAATGCACTATTTACTGGTGATTAACTATAACACTTAAACACAATACTTAGGAACTTAAGCACTTTGAGTAGTTGTTTAAGCTAGACAGAGCAAGAAAATTTCTTGTTTAACATATATTTTTAATTCCAGTAATATTCTTAAATTCCTGTTAAAATATAATCAATATTAAAGTCAGCAAAATGCCTTTGACTGACACCAGCACTATTTTACCACTTAGACTGGTTACACAGTGATTTTTTTTTTTTTTCTGTCATAGAGACTGACAACCAGTTTAGTCTTTAAACGAAGCGATAATTCACATTGCAGCATCTTGTGGAAAATACTGAACTACATTTAAATGCTTTTTTAAAATGGAGAAAGCTATTGTTCCACAAGAACTTGTTTACGTAAAACTATAGGTTGGCTACGGTAATAGTAACTAAACTATATCCAACCCTGAAGGTACAAACATCCCTGACAAGAAATACACAGCCTAGTTGTAATATACCACATAAAGGTTTTAGTCTTATTTTAAAAAATTCTCCCAATTTGGAGACATCCAAACCTTTCCATAGTTCCCTTCCCTAGGCAGTACCACATAAAGTTATTTAGTTAACATGATCATGGCTTACGATTCAATTCCATATGACAAACACTTACATATAGCAGCCGTCATTTTGGATGTTGGCTATGACAATATTTACAGTTTGATTAAAGAACACACGTTCATTACATTTGGTACAAAGCATGAACACACTTCACGATAGATTGGCACAATACATGTAGTTCGAGAATTCTCTCAGCTCAAGCCAGTCATCACTGAATAAACCATATTCTCAGGCTTCTTTTCCAAATCTTTCCTTGTATAACTGACGTCTGAAATGCTTCTTAAAACATCTTCCAGGATAAGAAAATACGCTTTAAAAAGCTTAGCGGAATGCGTGGTGGAAATGAGGCAGGATGGCAGGGCTGGTGCCAGTTGAGAAGACATGGGGGGCGGGGGGCAGAGGGAGCTTGGCCAGGCTCATGGTGCCCATGGCTAGTGGGGGTTCCTGCTGCTGCTGCCCCAGACAGCTTAACACATGGGGCAGAGATTCCCCTGGCCCCAGGGTGAGAGCGCTATTCCCAAAGCCATTCTGGGTAGTGGGAGGGGACAGCTGCCAGAAACCCAACAGGGAGGACAGGTCGAGAGAGGCAGGTATTGTTAGGTTCACAGCATCTGCAGGCAGCTCCCTGGGCAGGCTTATTTTACCAGCACATCCATTAGCCAGATCAAAACCTGGGCTGAGCTTGGGAGGTGACAGAGGCTCTTGCAGCGGCAAGTCCTCGCACACGTTGATATTGCAAAACCCTTTAGTATCTGCTTTGAGGGGCAGGCTTGCAAGTGAAGGGGAGTATGAGGTAGAAGTGGTGTGATTGGGCAGGGCTGGAGGACAGCCAGGAGACACCGAGGGATGCAGGGAGGCAAAGGGCTCTAGCAGCAACTGAATAGGCTGGGCAGCTTGTTCTGCGGGGCTGAGGGTGAAGGTGTGGACCTCAGCTGGCAAGCTACTTGCAAGCCCGCTCTGGGCAGACGCTCCTATGGGGAAAGGAGACAACGGGGCAGCCTTCAGTTGAAACGGAGGCGAGATGGGGTGGAAGGTGCTCAGAAGGTCTCCGGTCTGCAGACTCTCTTTCATCAGCTCCTGGGAGTGTGTCTTCTTGGTATGCCGGGTGAGGTGGTCCTTGCGCCCAAATCTCTGGGCGCAGAACTGGCACAGGAAGTCCTTGCATCCTGTGTGGACCACCAGGTGGCGTCGCACATCCTTCCGGGTGTAGAAGCATCTTTCACAGTGGTCGCATTGGTGCTTCTTTTCCTTGGTTCCACTAGGGGGCTTTTCTTCTGCGTGGGCTTTGAGGTGATCCAGCAGCACCTCGGTGCTCCCTAGCTCCAGGGCACAGACCCCACAGGTGAGGTCGCCACTGCTGGCCGCATGGAGGGCTAGGTGCCTCTTATAGCCCAGCATGGTGTTGTACTTCTTCCCACACTCACACCCAAAGGCCATTTTGTTGGGGGCATGGGTCTGGAGGTGGTTTTTCAGGTGGTCTTTTCGGTTGAACGTCTTCTTACAGTGAACACACTGGTGAGATTTCTGGGGAGAATGGGTAGCCATGTGCCTGGGGCAGATGGAAAAATTTCACAATAGAGAGTTGTTTTAAAGAAAGGTTTAGAAACAATATTATATCAAATTATATTAATAGTTTTCTCTGGGGTTTGGTATAATTTTCACTTTAAAAATACTTTTCTATGTTTTCCAAATACCTAAAAGTTTATAATTATAATTCTGTATACCGGGGGACAGGGTGTCTGTGCTTGGCCAGTGGGCTTCTTGGATGGTAAATGAACTCAAGGTCTCCCTTTACCTCCCTCCAC